CATATAATAGAATCCATTGAATTTCTTTTCTAATGTTGAAAAGTTCTTGTGGTCCCTTATGGACCACATGGTATACTTTCACCATAACTTCCTTATTTTGTGTAGTGTCTCTCTAAAACTTTGAAGGACTATTTTGATACGTGTCACTCTCATGATTTGATCCCTATTAAATGAAATAAAAGTGATCATTTGTTTCCCATTGGATTGATCTCTTTGAGTCATTATTATCACCTGTTCCTTAGATAATAGGACAAAATTAAGTCCTCAAAAGGCCCGTTCGTGGCCCAGGCACAAGGGGTTCGATCCATGGCTTCCCCCATGCATGTTTGCATGTTAATTTGATATATTTACAGTTATTTAATGATTCATGATTGATAGAATTTTGTATGTTATTTAAATATTGAGATTGTTCTTTAATCTTGCGGTATGAACTTTAATATTATGCTTCATTGTTTATGTGAATTAAAATCTCATTAGATTATTATGATCGAGTGTATGATGTGTATGAGACATTGTGATGTATGCTCAGGATAAAGAATGAAGATGGAATTATCATGTAATTTTGATATAATGAGGAATTACGAGTGCAATTCATGTAATATATTGTCGAGATGTACATTGTGAGTATTTGGATATTGTATTGAGTTTAATTGTATTTTTTGGTAAGGGATTTGTAAGAGACCTATTAGGGTTGAATTTTTATTATTCAAATGTGTATAAACCATGTTTGTAGACTACAATATATGAATTATGGTTTTGTATTGAGATATTCATGCATTTAAACCCATGAGTTTTAATACAATGGAAAAGATTTAAAAGATTACGTTTCTAGCCCATTGGTCTTATACCACCAACAAAATCACGAACACATAGGTGAAAAATTTTTAAAAGAGAGAATTTTTAAAAATAGGTTGGTGAGCAGTTTAGGCTCATGCTACCATGGAGCCCTTTTTTTTTTTGTTTGGATACAAGCTTGTTGAGCCTTTGCTTGGGACCTTTAGGACAAGGAATAATTGAGTGCTCTTTTTAAAAGAGAGAATTTTGAAAGATAGGTTGGTAAGCAGTTTAGGCTCATGCTACCATGAAGCCCTTTTTTTTTCCAGATACGAGCTTTCGAGCCTTTGCTTGGGATCTTCAAGACAAAGAATCATCAAGTACTCTTCATCTTTCGATCTTTGGATCTTGTGTCACAACTCAAGGGAGAGTTTTCTAAAGTATTCCAAGCAAATCGATGTCTTGGATAATATTGGATACTACCCCTAAGTGCTTAGAATCTCCTTGTACTTCCAATTTTTATTCCTCCACTACCTATCCTTTTGAAGTTCAGATAGTCGAGGCTCTTGTTTACTTAGACTGATGCCTTCATATTAATTTGCTTTCTGACACCATTCCAACTTAGGAAGAGAAGTTCAGAAGAATTTTTAGAGATATTGGAGAAGAGATGAAAAGAGAGATCTTGTTTTTCCTCTTTTTTTTGTTTTTTTATCGCCCCGATGGTCCCCTTCAGGTGTTCAGCCTAGTGACCTTTTTTCCAACGCTCAAGGTTCTTTTGGATTTTCAGGCCGACGGATTTTTTTTCTTTCCTCGTGTTTTTTTTATTATTTTCTTTTTATTTTCTCTTTTTTGGAAGAAGATGAAGAAAGAGGAGGAGAAGAAGAAGAGTCGGTGGTGTTTTTGCACTTCATCTTGGAAATAGATGAGTTCAATCATCATTCATTCCTTTATGAGTCGTTTGGGAACCCTGTATACCCCAAATCGAGTTTTTACTAATTCCTGTTTTTGTTGATTCTAGTATATATAAAAGCTGGTTTTGAGCACAATGTTGTTTGGCTGGTTGCAGGAAGAACCCAGAATATATATATATATATATATATATATATATATATATGATGGTACGTCACCTTGTTTGGCACCATGAAGATGAAAACTAGTTCTTGGTTGTTTTCTATTAATGCAATTTAGCAGTTGATTCTTAACGTTCATGATTTTGTAGTAATACATGGCCAATTAAAACTATTTTTTGGGAGTAAGTTATCCATCATGTAATAAATAAATTAGACGGTTCGGATATCAATTATTGTTAATGCACGACACTACAATTATCCCCAATATACTAATGGGGTGTGCACTACAACTAGGACACGCTCATGTTAGAATACAAAAAAGATGACAATGATCATTAATTCTAACCTTCTCACTCACCAGGAGTAGCTCACAGCAGTCTTTATCAGCGAATTCAAATTCCCATCCACCAGCTAAGCAACAGCCATACAAACTTTGACCTAACAACTTAAGAGCACTCTTGTCATTTGGCTCTATTAGGCACAAGTTTGCCTTTTGAAAAGAAAAACAATTCACTGTTGGATGGATACAAATTTGGTTGCCAGATCTAAGCATGCTACATCTAATTGATAATATGTGTGGCTCAATTTAAGTAATGCCACATGTTAATGATATGTGTGGCCCAATTTAAGTATATAACAACAAATAATTCTAAATGACTCAATCTAGGAACCAAGATTTGTTAAAGTTCTAACCGCCTCGTACTCTATAATTACTGACAAAACCCAAACATGCTTCCTCTTGTTCAATCTAGTACCACACATTGCCATTACCCACCTCATCACAATTTAGAGATCACAAGCTTTCTACATATCCACCATCAAATAATTCATGTGCCAAAGTTCATCAGAGATTAAACTTGCCATCATAATGGGTAAACGACTTCACCCACAAAATCTGCTAGGCTCAAAGCACTATCTGCTAGGCTCAAACCAACTAGTGATATTGGCAGAAGAGCCCTCAATGAATAGCTGACCCAATTAAGAATCTTGCACCCATCAGTTGGCCACACATTTATGTACAGGCTTTGAGTTGCCTTTCCAATCGGATCAAAGATAACTTTAAGAATATTTACTAAAATTATTGCCTATCCCTAGGATCAGAAAACCAATTGGGTGATCAAAACATGACAATAAAGCTATTCCACAGACCCACACAATGCATCTTTCTGTTCACCCTTCATTTTCAGATGCAATTGCATCTTGAAGGGCACATGGGTCCCACACTTACAACTAGGAACAGCATTCGAACCACCACTTCGTTATACATGCATCATATTTCCAGATGCAGTCAATCATTGTTCACCGATAATGATGGCACTAATTATCCCAAGCATGGAAATAAACAAGACACAAGAACCATCACAATCATATATACAAGCACAAAGTACATGCCAAAGCCAATCTAAAGGGTATGCACCATGCCAATAGGAGCAGCACCAACAAAGATAATGGATAGCCGTCCAAAGTCTTGCCAAAAAGAAAGAAAAAGCACAAAACTGTATAAACAATTTCTCGAAATTCTCACACTTAAACAACACGAGGATCAAGTTTACAACAACCACATATCCATGCAGTTATCCATCAAGAAAGAAAGAATCGAAAAAAATTTAAAAGGAGAACCGAGTCATCGCAACCCAAAAGTCTTTGGCTAAGACTGCCACTATCAACCACCATCCAAGCAATAACTCAAGTAAAGCAAATAAATACTTCACACCAACATATTGAACATTAATCCAAGAAATAAAATCAATAATATTGATCGGCAAAACCAAGAAACACATCCATTAATAAACAAGAATGGAATGAGTAACAAAGCATGGAACAGTATGAAAGGCCATACCAGATTCAAAAATTCTGATAGAAATTGTCAATAAAGAACACCGCATGGAAATCATATATGGAGTTGCCAAATGCCAATAATGTTGCTTTTACCATAAATTAATACCCGCTGAACTTAAACAAATTGTTCCATCCTCCGAGTATTAACATAAACCACAGAAAAGGTATTCACCAAAAAAGAAACACCAAAATGCAATATCAAGGTACTACATCACTAAAAGCAATTCATATACCACAAAAAGGAAACTAGCCACATAAATCAAAGCTATAACTGATTCAATAATGCAATATTCAGCTAATCTTAAGCCCATAGAACTATAAAAAGGATTAAAAAACAGAAGATAAAAAATATTAATAAATAAATAAATTTAAGAAACACCAAAATGCATTACCACATCACTGAAAGCAATTCATATACCACAAAAAGGAAACTAGCCAAATAAATCAAAGCTATCACTGATTCAGTAATGCAATATTCAGTTAATTTTAAGCCCATAGAATTACACATATGCTTAAGAAACAGAAGATAATTAAAATAATAATAAAAATTAAGAAACACCAAAATGTAATACCATGCCCATATAGAGAAGGGAGTACATTTTAAGGATGCATAGAGGAATGCCATGGATTCTTTGCAAGCAACACATGCCCATATAGAGAATTAGTCCTAACGTTTACAACAAAACGACTTTCTATCAAAAAACACAAAACTATTTGGAAATCAATTAAGCAAGATGATAGGAATCATACATTCAGAATAACAAGGAAACCTACAGCTTTCACCACCGTAAACCAACACCAAATCCCTAGTATCTCCAGAAACAAACAAAATGGCAAGCAAAAATCATAAAAATAACTCAAAATCACTGTAAAACATAGATTTTCAACCAAATAAATTGAAAGGGGCTGATACAAAACCACTAAACAAATTCCTTTAATCCAGACACCCTGTCCTTTTTTTTTCTTTTTTTAAAAACAAAAACATATACAGAAAACAAGAATATTATATTGCAGCAGAAGTTTAAAACATTTTGATAGAACGAATGAGCAGAAGTGAAACCGTATATACAAACAAACACCGGTCCAATGAAATTTAGGGCTTTTGCCAAAATTCACAATTTACAAATGGGACTTCTACAAAAAGCAGGACCATGGAGAAGGAACTCATAAAATCAAATGAATAACAAATAAACACAGAAAAACGGAATAATGCCAAAAAATAAGGAAACTCTATGATTCCATAATAGGGGCAACCTAGAATTTCTCCCAGAGAAACCCTAGCAAGAGAAATAGGTATATAGAAAAAAAAAACCATACCTGATGTTAATGGAGGATGGGAGGTTGGTGATTCTCGAAAAAACCCAGGAACAATCGAGCTCGACCTACTGATTCCCACCAACAATAAATTTTTCGAGCTCTTAATAAAAATATGTGCGAGAGATGGCGGAGAGAGGGCTCTGCGAACTGCTTCTCAGTGGCGGAAGAGGGCTCTGCAAACACGGGAACTAACAAAAACTGAAATAAAAGTAATCCACGTATTTTGGGGGTAAATCTTTATCATGCTTCCATGTCATTTTGGAGACACGTGGAAACTCTTTTGGAGCCTTTTCATTGAGCCAAACCCTATTTTGAGTCAAAACTAGATTTTTTAAAAACTCGTTTTGGGGTATAGATGGTTTCCTAACGATTCATTAGGAGGAAGGGAGATTCTAGTCTTAGTTATGTTTAGGGTGTTTTTTTCACTCGTGGTTGGTATCCAATACTTTCTTATAAAGGTTGTTGAATTCTTATTGATTTTTTTATTATTAAATTGCTCTACTCAGATCTTGATCTTCAGACTTGAATCAGCTTCTCAATCTTTTTTATTTTTTATTTTTTATTATTTTATTTTTACCATGTTACTAAAGTTTTTAGTAATCAGTCAAAGGTTATAGCCAATCAGAAAGGAAAAATATCTTAAATAAACAAATACTGTATAGACATCACTTGTTTTGCTAATCCATCATCAATGTTATTAGCCTCCTTATACACATGCTGAAATGAGATTTGGAGACCCTCACACATATCCATAATATTTAACCATTTCTTCCTCAAGCTCCATGATGGCCTAGATATCTTATTACACCAATTTATCACATTCAGATAGTCCCCTTCAACAATACATGGAATTTTGATATTCTTCTGACTCACAATCTAATCTCTAAATACTCTAATGTAGCCAATTCCGCTTCATTAGCCGTTACATCTCCAAATGCATTTCGCAAAATTCCTCCAACTCCAGATAGGCTTGGGTTTCCTAATGAGCTTCCATCGAAGTTAAGTTTAATACTCCCTAGCATAGGTAAGCTCCACCTACCTTTTGGTCTTACTTTCATTATTTTTTAAAGCATCAAATTATGCAAATTAATCTCAACATCCGCTTTGACCACCCAAATCCTTTTTTTGTCACGGAAAACCAACTCCAAACTGAATGCTGAATCTTTTTTTTAACTAATTCCACCTCCAGAGATTTGTTATCAAATGTCTTCCTATTGCGCTCCATCCAGATCCCCCAAAGAACAATAGCTCTTACCATCTCCCAAATCATCTTGCCCACCATTGGTAAATAATCCAACTCCATGCTACCCAAAATATTAATATGACTACTCGGCACCTCCATCGTATGTCCAATTTTTTGAAAAAGTCATATCCAGATGTGAGAAGAGAAAGGACAATGAAGGAAAAGATGATCTCCATTCTCATCATTTTCCTTACAAAGAATGCAAACATTCGTAATAATCTTGCCCCTTTTATGATCTTATCCGTAGTAAGCAACTTTCTTTGAAACAAAATCTATATGAAATTTTGAATTTTGAAAGGGACCTTCCAACACCATATTCTCTTCAATAATGGTCTACTCCACCAAATCCTATTATGAAACAGCTAACTATACGCTAATTTAACTGAAAAAATACCGTCCTTCTTAGCCTCCCAAAGCAGCTCATCTTGCCTCTTTCTGTGCGGCATAAACCCATAAATATCCCCAAGTAGCGAAGTATATTGATCAATCATTTAGTCTGAAACTATATTGTACCTACAGTTTAAAGGCCAAACATTTGCATCTCAATTAAAGATCTGAGACGCCATGATATCTTGTTGATTTGTCGCTCCAAAAACCAGTGGATACGCTGATTTCAAGCAACAATCTCCCACCCACTTACTATGTCAAAAAGATATATTTCCCCATCACCCAAAATCCACCTACAACCACCAATCATAAAAAACTTGTTTTGAAGAACTCTTTTCCATATAGGTGATTTAAGAACATACCTTCTCCCGCTGCCTATCCAAAGATTATGCTGGTCCACTCCATACTTGGCTATTAATATATCTTTCCAAAACATCCCATCATGTCTCATTAATCTCCACTACGATTTAGAAAGCAAAGCTTGATTCACAATTTTAGTTTTCTAATTCGCACACCACCTTCTCTTTTTGGTAGGCAAATCCTCTCCCAACTTACCAAATGATATTTATTGCCAAAATCTCTTGAACCCCATAAAAAGTTACACATCATCTGTTCAATCTTTTTTGACACTAAACTCGATATTACTTAAAAGGACATTTGGTATACCAATAAATTCGCCATCGATGACTGAATTAGAGTAACTCTTCCCTCCAATGGATAAATGTTTAACTTTCCACAAGTCTAGTTTTGTGATTACTCTTTTTAAAATCGGATCTCACACCGACTTGGGCATTTTTCCATATGAGATTGGCAGGTCAAGATAACTAATTGGAAACTTCCCTACTTCATATCCCAAATGAAAAGCCAACCGCTTTAGCATTACATTCAAATACTCTACCCCCACTAAGGACGTTTTCTCAAAATTGACTTTGAAGCCGAGCACCTCTTCACAACAACACATAAACCTTATTGCATTAATTATCTAATCCACCTCTGCATCACAAAACATCGAAGTTTCATCTTCATATCGCAAATGAGTCACTATCGAAAGAGATGTTTCAGATACCTTAAATCCATAAAATTTTCCCCTCCCTTCTACATTCCTTATCATCAAAGTCATAACTTCATCAACAATTGTGAAAAGGAATAGAGAAAGCAGGTCTCCCTGCCTCAATCCGCTTGAGGCCCTAGAATAGCCTTTCGGGCTTTCATTAACCATCACTGCAAAATGCATCGAAGAAATACACCATTTTATCCACATTTTCCATTTTCCCCCAAAACCCATACATCTCAACGCCTCCAGCAAAACATTCCAATCGACCCGGTCATAAGCCTTTTCCATATTTAATTTAAGCAATACTCCTGGCTTCCTTTCCAACTTTCTCGAATGAAATATTCTTGTACAATTAAGACTCCATCTGGGATAATTCTCTCTTTAATGAGGCCGAATGTGTTTCAAAAATGACCAAATTAAGGACTCTCTTAAGTCTATATGCCAGTAACTTTGCTAAAAATTTATACAGACAAGTCAGAAGACTGATAGGTCTGATATCCGACATTCCTGTTGTACCTTGCTTCTTTGGGATCAGAGCAATATAGGTTGAGTTTATGGCTTTATTCACTACTTCTTTTGAAAGAAACTCATTAACCATAAACATCAAATTTAGTTTATGAGATCCCAAATTTTTTGAAAGAAAACCACCGAAAATCCATCAAGACCTGAGGATTTATCCCTTGGCAAAGCAAAAACATGCTTTTTAATTTCTTCTTTCTAATGCCATTCCTTCCAAAGGCAAAGCAATTGACCTTGGTAGCACTTTAAATCAGCTTCTTACTCTTTCAATTTCTTGCAAAGTTGGCTAAGCTCATTTTTCTTTATTTTTATTTATTTTTGTTTCCCTTGTACGTGGGTTGGCGAAGATGCAATGTTTAAAACTTATAGCCGAGTTCTACTCTCTCTTCTCATTCTCTCTATGCTGCACTCTCTAGGTCATCCTATTTCTCTTACCCTCTCTCATACATAGGTTTCCTATCACAACCTACCTCTTGACGGCATTTTTTCTTCAACTTATTTAATTTTAGCATAGGTTTTTTAATTTTCTTGATCAGCATGTTCACCCATCATATTTGGGAATTTTTAGCGATTTGTTTTTTGACTTTGTTACTTGGAGGACCAAGACTTGAGTTTTTTTACGTAGGGTTTCCTATCACAGGTGAGCTTCCTTGATTATTTTTAGGATTTGTTTGTAATTTAAACTATTTTGATTAAATTTTGGAAGTTTTTTAGTGAATTTTTTTTTAGTTTGTTACTTGGAGGACCAAGCCTTGATTTTTCTTTGCTTACAATTTCTTAAAAATATCAACCCAGATTTCTACACTTTTGGATCACAACCTGACATTCCCATTATCTGTAGTTTTTATGGGCCTTTTGGACGAATTGCCAAACCGTTTAATAACCAATTTTGCTCATGAGGCCTTTCAAGTGGAGTGGTTTTTTATTGTTGATTCGGCCTTTTTTAGGTTCTTTTACTTTATTTGCAGGTTTCTGGGGCCTTTTATACCAATTGCGAAATTATTATGCCTATAAGGCATTTTCGTGATTTTTTTTTATTTTTTATTTTTTTAGCCTTTTTTCTCACTTGGGATAATATTTTTTGGTTTTTTTAGTATTTCTAGTAAAACTTCTCCAATTTGTTAGCAGGACCAAAAATAATTTAATATATTCTATAAAGATTAGAGAAATCCAATCAAATTTGAAAACGTAAATTGAAAAAAAAAAAAACAATAAGCAACAATATCGCATACCTTATGTTAATGTTGACTGTGACTTTTTGTTACAATACCATAATGTTTTAGTCCATAAAACTCTTAATTTTCACGCCATTGATGGTCAACCGAATAATCTAACAGGGAAGCCCATATAATTTCTCAAATAATTTTTTATTTTAAAATAATAAAATTTGGCACATAGTAAGCTTTCTTGGGAGTTATCGGATTGAATATTGAAGTAAAGAAAATTGCTCCTTATTGAATCCAATGATGCATTTAACAAAACAATCATGGGGAAAATAAGGTGTCTTGCAAACATTCCTTGGAATTATGGAAAATGTTTATGTAAGGTGCTAGCCTTATACTATAGAAAGCAAGGCACACCTCAAAAAAAAATTGACTATTTGTGCGTTGAGATCTATGGATATGAAAAAATTGATATGAAATAGTGCATCATTAAACTCATTATCTGGACAGTCCATTTTTTAGATTTATTTATAGATATGCTTGATCGGTACAATTTTAGGAGTTTTATTTTTTTTTTATTATTGAAAATATATTTTTAGACCATCACAAGTATTTTTAACGCAAAAAAAGAAAAATCTTTCGACATGATTTATAGGTGCGCCTTAACTCGATTGTTTAAGGTTGAGGCCTAACAATACTGTTTCGAATTTTTCCAACTCAAATATATTTATCCTATGGGGACGTATACTTTATATGTTTTCTATGGTAGAACGTACACAAACATTTGAAATATTTTTCTATCGTATACTTTATTAATATTTTTCCAGCGTATACTTTATTATTTCAATGCATCAA